TGATCAGGACTGTAAAGAAAAGTATGATGTATTTTCTTTTAAATTACAAATTAGACATTTGCTCCCCATATCCACTGGCAGGGGCTTTGACTACTTTATATGCAAAAGGTACCACTTATAGCTCACTGTAGAATTTAAATACTGGCTTCTCTCTCATGCCCAGCTCTGAAAGTGGAATTTATGTAATATTACAGCATATAAATTAAACCATCCTACGTCCCTGTTCTGTTGTCACAGCAAACCTGTTTTAACTGCTTCCTTTGGTAATAAATGGGCAGAATGTGTTGTCCCTTGGACATTTAAAGGTCTTTTTATTACAGGTTGCTTTCTATTTTACACACTGCATTATCATTTCTTTCAAAGAATTTGTTTAGAATTACAGGTTTGCACTGACATTGATTCATGCATGTTTACTTGTGCACTTGAGTTTACTTACTTGTAAATGTATGTGTGTAATATACAGGGTTTGTGTGTGAGATGCTTCTTCTGGATATAATATTAGCAACAAGATAATTGGAATCTGTGAGAAAATGCAGTTGTACTGTAGGAAATAAAATGTCATTTGGTGTTCTGTAAAGGAAATTTATGGAATTCGGTGAAAATGGACAGTATATTTTAATATATTTGACATAATACTAGACTAAAAAAATCCAAATTTGTCAGTGATCACAAACACTGAAATCATTTTTTAATCACAATTATTCCCATACAGAGAATTCAAAAATCTTGTCTTGTCTGTTTTAAGCAACAGTTGAGCTGTGAGATTCCCAGTTATTGTCTGTCAGAGCAGGTATGTCTTCATGACCCTTGGCTCAAACATGGGCTCTTGCATTAAGTAGTTAGCCTTTAAAGCCAGCTGCTGACTGAAGGTCCTTAAGATTTACCATTTTGCTTTAAAGAGTCTTAAGTAAAGCAGGAGGACGTTTAATGAGTGGTTCAACATGAAAGATATGCTTTTTATAAATAGTAAAAAACACTGCAGTTTTCTTTAAAACTCCTATGGTCTACATACTGTTCTACTGTTGCTGGCTGTTACTCTGTCTTTATTTATGCTTTTAGAGGTTGATTAGATTCAAAACAGATATTGCTACAAGACATTACAGGAGAAAATACAGCATGAGAGCACTTTCATATTGATTTAAGTTTAAAAAATCATTACTTATGGATCCAAAAGGGAATTTTTTTCCTTCATTTTAAGATCTTTTGATTCTGACAACCATATTGGAGTTGGTCATTGAATTTAAATACTTTGCAGTGTTTTTATAGTTATCTGTAGCTATTGTGATTTTTTTTCCCAAATAAATTCCCATACTGCCTTCCTTGCCATATCTCAAAGCTAAAGGTACAGTAGGTATTGCTACAGGCATCTCTTTGACTATGTTGTGACTTAACGGTTAGGATATTACTAACATGTAATTGTTTTATAAAATTTTAATACCTTATGTATCTCTAGTAATCTATATATGTTGATTTGTATGCAGACCTGATCTTTTAATGTCATTTTTCTAAATAAGCTCTATAAAATTTACCACTTATTAGTTTTGTTTTCTTCCTGACTACTTCCAGATATGTCTAAATGAGGATTCATTTAGAATTCTGTGTAAACAAGGTATGCAAATTATGTTTGTATACTGCTTTTTTCCAACTTGTTCTTTGAGCAGCAGAGAGAAAATAATAAAATTATTCAGTTATGGAACTAATTGACTAGATGAAAACAATTTTGGGATATGTAATTCTGGCATCAAAAGATGTGCTGAATGTTTTAATGCAGTTCTTCACAAATCAGGTGACCTGCTGTCTGAAATGTGTGAAGAGCTATGTGAGAGAGAGTGAGGAAGGTGGTACAGAGCTCTTGTTTGCTCCACAGAATTTCATATATTATTCTCACATAAAAAAAAAGTTTAAAATTTGAGAGACCTTTTTCCTGAGTTTGCGGGGAATATGAAGCAATGAAAGAACAGTGTGAACTACCATTGATTTCATGGAGTTCAAGCTCCAATACAACTGATGACAATCAAATCATATTATTCAACTCCATTGTTATTTAGCAATTGATATAAGAACAGAAAAGAAAGTATTGTAATATGAGAGTTTACATCATCTCTCTCTGAAGTGTTTTCCTGAAAAGATAGGCACTCAAGCTTTCAGAATTTGCTCACTGCAAGATGTGAAAGGAATGAAATTAAGTCCTTTGTAAAAGACTGAATTTCACTGAATTAATTTGGCCCAAGACAAATGTTAACAGTCAGAATACATGAAAAGAATGCATTTGTATTAGTTCATTTAAACATCAGTGGTGGCCATATTCAAAACTGCCTGTTGAAAGGGCCTTACATTAACCATTGTGACACCTAACTAGTGAATGTCCAATCCAGGTGTACCTACAGGCAGCAGAGAGCCTAGCAATACCACAAACAATTTGGGTTGTTCAAGTAAGGCTCCTGCTTCTCTCCATCAGAGAGTTTAGGTGCTTTCTTTGTAGCTGCCTTCACATACAAGGAGGGAAACTGCATAGAACCAGCTCACACGGAAGACTAAAGTAATTGTATCTGATACATAATCAAATTCAGAGCTATCCTCTGATCAGCTGGAGTCTCTAAGGGTAGGCAGGTGATGATGGGAGATTTGCACTATAACCAAGGCATTTAATGCTTGTTTCCACAATTGGAGAGCTGTGTTCAGGCTGAGTAACCTGATTCTTTTTATTACTTGTCTGTATAGTGCACAGCAATGTGGTCTTGCTCTTGGTGCTGGGTCTCTATGCACTATTCAGTGCAAACTTATGACTTATGGGTGGAAGAGGTCAGAGGAAAAGGGTTAGGTGACCTTAGAGAAATACAGGAAATTTCTGGTGTCTGAGGACTAACAGAAGCTATGGTACCATAACAGATTAGGTTTGATTCACTCTGGAAATATGTAATAACCTGTCACTTTGGAGCTGTTTCATTTTTCCTGGCTATTAGATGATACGATTTACAATATAGAAAAAAATCCAGACTGACAACCCTAACAGACTTTCTTATATTACCTGCAAGGTCTTTTTATCTTTGTTTTTAAACTCTATTTCCCTTCTTCTATATTCCAGCACCAAGGGAATAGTCTCAATGGAGCTCATAAAAACAGGAAAACAGTTCAATAAATACACACTTTAAAGTGTCTTACCTGTGGACACAAAATGATCCAAGACTTGAATGAACCTCAGTTCAGTCACAATACTGAATTGTCGCTGGTACCTAAAATGAGTCAGAGTAGCACACAAGCCTTGTCTTCTGAAAATGGTTGGTCATACAAAAGCCCACCATTCAGGACACAAAACATCTCTTGACATTGTGACTTTTGAGGGATTGTGTTGGTTTTTTATTGAGTATGTAAATAGTGAAATGGGATGGATAAAGGGATACCTCTTTCCTTCATATTTCAGAATTTAAATGTATATTCTACAGTCAACCACAGAGTAGAAAACAAAAACCATTTTCTATTTATCTGAATGTCATTCTTTCTCCCACCCTCCCGATCTTGGCTTTCCTCACTTGCTCTAATACTTCTCCTGAGCAGTACTATGAACACAAACCACTCTCTTGACTCAGCACATCTCCAAAGTGTCGAGTTTCTCCTCCCAAAAACCCCAACCTGTTCTGTAATCCTTGCAAGCTGATGTTCCCAGGTCCCTCTTCTGTGCCAGCATGCATCAGGATTCCTCAGTGCAGAGGAGCATCCAGTGTAGCAATCCCCCACTGAATACGCGTAACTACACATCAGTGTTCTAGTTCTTCCTAATTTACAGGTAAATTTGGAGAGTCCTACATGTTTGTTAACTAGGACAGAAAGGAGATGAGAAGGAGCATGTGCAGGAAGCTCTACTTCAGTGGAGCTTAATTTTATTTTCACACAAGATCCTGTATTGTCTGCACTGTGACTTATTTGCTCGTTGCCTGTAGTCTGTGTGTCAGCAGGTACTCCAGTACTCCAGAGTACTGCTAAATGGCAGTCCTTTTGGATTTCTTGCAGTCTGTTATGATGTAATGTCTGAATCAAGGCCTGTGCTGTCCCTAAAAGTCCAAAGAATCAGTAACTAATGTAAGAAACAATCATAACCTGGGAAAGCCATTTCACTGAGACTTAGCTTGCAACCCCTAGCATCACTAAATGTGGCTTATCAACAGTTTTAATTACCAGAGACTAAGCTTTTCTCTCCCTTTTTCCTTGACAAATGAAGTTATCATATTTTTCTAAAGTAATGAGTCTGGCAAGCTGAGGTGTTACAGCAAAGACCAAAGATCAGGATTTGTGTTGCAGATGTATTTAGGAAGTGGTTAAACTATAGGGTGTGTTTTGTTGTTGGGTTTTTCTATTATTTTTAGTGTGCGTTTCTAGTCAGAAGAAAAAATGTTAACAAAGATGATTTTTTGTGATACAAACAGAGCCGGGTTTTGCAGATCAGAGAACCTATCAACTATTCTACATTTGCACCTTGATTTTACTAGGAAGTCAGCTGTCTGTCTATGTGCTTCATGCTGATATCCAGCTATTAAGATCTTTCTTCATATCTGTTTCCCTTCCCATTGCAAAAACAACATAATCATTCTAGTTTTATTTTTTAAAATTTATTTCCATGCATAGTTCTTCATAATTAGTTGATATAGGAGACCCATTTGGAAAGGACACTGTTTCTAAAACAGCATGCCAGAATGTTTATATGGCCTTGGGCTGCAGGAATCAGAGGATGGATGAATATCCTGCAGTTGTTTTGGCTATTATATCGTGGATGGCAGGTTGCCAGTAGCAACTACAGCAGAGTGTCAGTGTCTTCCTCTGTGTGATAAAACAGAGAATATTTGCACTTTCTGAACCACTTCAGGGAGGATTTGTGGCAGTTTGGAGGACTTGAAGTGACAAGAGATGGAAGTAGATAAGCTGCTTGCAGGTTATATGCCAACCTGTCCTTCTGTTGGTTCCTCCAGGCCTGGCACCACTGACACTTTTTTTGCCCTTCCTTCTAGAACATTTAAAAGAGAAGCTGGAGGAATACATGGTCCGTTTTGCCAAAGTGAGGATTGTACGAACCAAGAAACGAGAAGGGCTCATTCGAACCAGACTGCTAGGAGCCTCACTGGCTAGAGGAGAAGTCTTGACATTTCTGGATTCCCATTGCGAAGTCAACGTGAATTGGCTGCCTCCCTTGCTTAGTAAGTGTATGAGCGTTCATCAGACATTAAAATTAGAACATAGAGCAAACAACTGAAGCTGTGTCCCACAATAAGCAGGACATACACTTTATCAAAGTGTTTGAAGTTCTGCTGCAGTGTCTGAAGTGTCATCATGAGAGAGAACTCTGAGAAGTGTAAGCAGCTCCATTTTGTTTCTTATGACTAAAGAATTAGTAAAATTTTGAAGTATCGCTTTGGCCTAATATAGTTACAATTTGTTTTATTATTAATACTACGAAATACACTACTAAATCTAGTATTATGCTATGTCCTCATTATATACCAGGAAAGTTTTCTTATGTAGGTATTGTACTCCTTCCTAGTCTTCCACATTTCATTAAAACAGTTTTTACTGTATCCAAGGCCTTAGTGTTAAAGCCAGTAGCAACTGCATTCACAACAGGAAGCTCAGAAAGAATGATATGCTATTGACTGCTTTGCTGGATTCCAGCTGCAGCCAGCAAAGCTCCATTAGTCAAAGGAATGGAAAGAATCGATTGTAGCCTAGGATTTCACTTCAGGAAACAATGTCCGCTTTTCTACACACCCAACTACATGGAAAGTGTATATACTTTGTAAAGTGAGTGCTTCTTTTGCTACCGTAACCAAAAAAAATTTCTGAGTTTCCTATTAAAGAAATTTGTATTAATTAAAACAGCCTGTTGTAAGTGGAGAACAGGTTATGGTTTCACCAATTAATGGTTATTATTTCTTGAATTTTGTTGTTTGGACTGTTGGGCCACACAGTAAGCTGATAAAGCATTTGCAGGCAAGATGTGCTGTTCTGCTAATGGATTATCACTAGAGACCAAAAAAAAATACTAGTTTCTCTTCAGATCAATAACAAGATAATGCACAAAATTCTAAATTTTTATGCTTTCTGGTTTCTGTATCAAATTATGCATACAGTCTTTCCCCTTGTTACCCCTTTGCCCTTAGTCACAACATCTTCATTTTTAAAAATAACCTCTATGACTTCATGTGAAGCACAAATGGTATAAAGGAGCAGAGAAAAATACAAGTTTCAACAAGGCTTCAACAAGCAGCCCCAACAAGTAGCTGTTAAACACTCCAGAGCACTCTACATATACAGTCTCCTTTCCTTTGTTTTCTGTTTTTGCCCCACTTCTCATAATACATTGCCACAAATTAAAAAAATCTCAAGAAGTTTCTCACTCTTGTCCTCTGAAGTCTTTTGCTAAGTTACAGCAGTAACCTTCTATTTTGCAAACTTTAACATGAAAAAACTGCAAGTTGCAAAAACAGTTCCTTTTCTTGCTTTCTTCTCTGAAATGAGTCATAGAGTCATTAAGATTGGAAAAGACCTGCAAGATCATTGAGTCCAACCTTTCGCCTGATACCACCATGTCCACTAACAATATCATGAAGTACCAAGTCCATGCATTTTTTGAACACTTCCAGGGATGTTGAGCCCACCACTTCCCTGGGTTGCCTGTTCTGATGCTTAACTAGTGAAGAAGTTTTTCCTAATATCCAGTCTGAACCTCCCCTGGTGCAACTTGAGGCCATTTCCCCTTGTCCTATCACTTGTTGCCTGCGAAAAGAGACTGACCCCCACCTCATCACAACCTATTTTCAGGTAGTTATAAAGGGTAATAATGTCTCCTCTAAGTCTCCTTTTGTCCAGACTGAACAACCCTAGTACTCTCAGCCACTTCTCAGCAGACTTGTGCTCCAGACCTTTACCAACTTTGCTGACCTTCTCTGGACTCTCTCCAGCACCTCAATGTCTTTCCTGTAGTGAGGGGTCCAAAACTGAACACAGGACTTGAGGTGCAGCCTCACCAGTGCCCAGTACGGGAGTGTGATCACTGCCCTGGTCCTGCTGGCCATACTTTGCTGATATAGGCCAGGATGCCATTGGCCTTCTTGACCACCTGGGCATTGCTGGCTCATGTTCAGCCACCTGTCAGCCAGCATCCCCGGGTCCTTTTCCTCTGGGCAGCTTTCCAGCCATGCATCCGCAAGCTTGTAGTGCTGCATGGAGTTGTTGTGACCCTCAGGCCTCAACTCATTGATCCAGAGTGTCCAGATCCCTCTGCACAGCCTTCCTACCTTCCAGCATATTGACACTCTCACCCATCTTGGTGTCATCTGCAAACTGACTAAGGTTGCACTTGATCCCCTCATCTAGATCGTTGATAAAGATGTTAAATAGAAGTGGCCCCAGTACTGAGCCCTGGAGAACATCACTTGTGACCTTCTGCAAACTGAATTTAACTCCATTCACCACTACTCTGGGCCTGGTCATCCAGCCAGTTTTTTACCCAGTGAAGAGTGCACCCATCTAAACTGCCAGCTTCTCCAGGAGAATGCTGTGGGAGACAGTATCAAGGGCTTTACTGAAGTCCAGATAGACAACATCCACAGCCTTTCACTCATCCACCAGTCAGGTCACCTGCTTATAGGAGGAAATAGGTTAGTCAGGCAAGACCAGACTTTCATAAACCCATGCTGGCTAGGCCTGGTCCCCTGGTTGTCCTGCACATATGTTATCTCACTCCAGATAGTCTATTCCATACATCTAGCCAGGTTTCACCCTATAAAAATGGAAAAATAATAGAATGGTGACACAGGATTCATAATTGTAGTTAGATTGCGGTTGGGTATTCAACCCTCGTACTCAAAATGGAAAACTGGAAAGATGAGAGAAACTTCATCAGTGACAAAGTCCTTAGTTCTCAAGTGGAATGAGATCTTTCTCATTCCACATGTAGTAGAATTCCCATAGATAACCAACCAGCTAGAGGATCTAAAAATGAATCTTGAGGAATACTGAGATATTTTGAAAGAAAAAGTAGAGCACTACATGAAGAAGGACAAATAGAGAATGAACACACATTTAGTATATTTAAGGATACCCTGTTTTCCTAAAGGGATGAGAGAACTTTCTTATAAACGTTAGATGGGAAATATTTACCATATTGAAATCAGATGACACCTGGCTTCTAATAATAGTAAAGTTAATGTATATTTTCAAGTGTTTATCTGAAGATCTATCTTATGATTCACTCAGCACTGCATGTGACTGAAAGTCATTCGGGGAAGCCACAACAGAGGATATGTTGCGTGTTTATTGCTTTGAAGCTGACCTGCTTTAGCTCTGATTGTTTCTGCCATGTGTAGTGAAAAATCCTAAACAAGAACACAGTTCAGCCCTGCTCTGGACTGGCAGCCTTCACTGAGAGGGGCAGTGGTTTCCACTGTTCCAGCCCAGCTTTTGTTCAAAGCAAGACCTTGAAAGTTAGAGGACAAGGGGGGCAATGAAGAAACTGAGAGCAATCACTTAAAGATGGTTCTTACAGTTATTTAGGTATCTAACTTATATTTTCAGAATTGACTGTCAGCTTCTAGACCAAAGGAAAAGTGAGTTATTTTATTATTTGTAGGGTGTCTAATTGGCTTTGTAGAGCTGAGCCACAGTTGTTTGCAGCTACAGTCCTTTGTTTTGCTTTCTTAAAAACTGGTGTAAAATGGCTTTATTTTCTTTAAGCTTTATTTAGTTTATTTAGCTTAAAAGGGCTGTTAAACTTAGATAAGATACTCTGAGATACCAGATACTCATATTCACTGAGTGGGCAGCTGTAGTGATGTAAAAAGGCTGGCAAATCCAGCTGTTTGTTGTCACTCCTTGGTGGTATAAAGTCAGCAGAAGGAAAGGTGTAACTTGGGCTCTAGCTGCTGTAGTTGGCAGTTTAGTGCAGTGTGAAGTCACAGTTATTGCAGATAAGAAACTGAATGGCGAACCAGCTGAAAGGTGCAGGCACATATTTCCTTCTTCTGATGTTGCTGCAGGAGAAGTAAGTGGAGAGATGGGCAATAGATCAATAGTCCCATAGGGTACCAGAACTAGGTTTGTTAAAATGTGTTTTTTTCCTGACCAAGAATTAAAATTGTATCATGATTAGATTATGCTTAGCAAGTTATCAAAACACTCACTCAGTACAGCCATCCATCTTCACAACATGTACATGATGTATTGCTTGTCAGTGGGGAAACTGAGGATATAAGTACTTATGACAACTCAGATAGCAAGACATTTGCTGAACCACTCAAATGTTGTCACTATCTGTAATCTCACATTTAAGTAGGACAATAATAGTATTTGCAATGAAAAATTGCAAAAATATGAGTATTTGCAACTTGGCATTGTTACTTTATCCAGGTCAATTTGAAACAACCACTTGAAATTAAAGAGGTGCACCTTTCTCATAAAGATAAAACCTACTGAAATAGTGACTCATCCAGTATTGAAAACTTCTTGTTTATTGCCATGATGCACACTCTGTTTGATACTGAAAGTGCAGAATTCAAATATGTGTGTATATGTTGCTTAAAATTGCTAGGGAGAAAGCTCTGAGCAATGTTCTCTCTTGTTCCCAAGCTTTCCCTGAAGTCTGCAAGATTTTTGCATGTACAGTGATGCTTATCTGTCTGTTCTTCCCTTTAACTGCAGCATAGATGCATTGAAACAATACATGGATATTTTCAGACCAGTAGGAGTTTGTGAGAGGATGATGAATAAAGGCAATGGAAAAGAAATTGTGAAGCATTTATGCAGTGTCTTTGGGTGTCTTGCATTAGGAGCAGGTGGGGTAAAGAGCAGTAGCATGTTTACATCTCTAAAGCTATGATACCAGCACACTTGTGAAATGTGAAGGCTAGCCCTACAGACTTTTTTTCTGTTTCCTAAATTCTTATTCATGCTACATTCAAGCCTAAGTAGTATATATGAAAAATGCATTATTTTAGGCGTATGAAAGAAACACTGAGGCTGCAACTTTGATTACTCTGCTTTTTTGTGTGCACAACTAAACACCCTGGTTTCATCAAAAGTCAATATCTTCCCATGGTTCCTCATCTCTAAAACCTTTTTGGGGGCTGAGAAGTAAGTTCCGCGGAAATACACAAAAGCAGGCAGGTAAGCATCATCATACTTACAAAATTCTTGAGAGTTGCAGAATGAAGACTGGTATTGAGTTTGAGCATTGCTCAAATAAATTTCTCCCTGACTATCTCTGCATGTGACTTGGAGACTTCAAATCCCTCAGTGTATTTAAAGAGAGCAGCTTTTAAAGATGAAGAGAGGGATGCTAAAGCGTTATGAGTCTACCTTTGACCTGCTCCAGCCAAATCAATCCCACTTAGTTTCTCTCCTCCAATCAATTTAGAAGGGGGGGAACAGAGTCAGACTGTTATGAGTCCTATAACTATTAGCAGGACCATCACCGGAAAGAGACTATGTAGAAGTGACTTTATATAATGATCACAGATAACACTACACAGTATACTAGCGAATGTAATTATATTTGGAATAGCAACAGTAATGCAGTCATTATCTCTGAGATGAGTTTCCTAGAATTTTGTGAGAGCCTGTGCTTTAAATTTATTTCACTATTAAAGGATAAGGATGTAAAAACCTGCTGAACTTCCAGTCACAGTAATTTCTCACTAGCAGTCAGCATTGATTTGGACAGCCTCTTAACAGGAACTTAGAATAAATATAAAAACTCAGATGCTTTGCTAAAGTAATATATTTTTCTTAATTTCAGTCCCTCGGAAGCAAGGAAGAAGAATCTGTATTATTAATCATTGCACGAGTATTGGTGTACACCTGACTGGTATACACCTTCCTATCTAAGTGTTCAATCCATACTGAGCCCTCTGATTATTTTTAAGGTATTATCAAGCACCAGTGAAATCTAAGCCTTAAAAACAAAAACCAAGTTTTCCACATAGGCCCTAACATATACTAAATAATTTAAAGGATCTAGGCTGCCATTCAGAGAAAAAGCTTTATTATTCTTGAAATTTTGAGATTTTAGTTTTTCCAGGGGTTTATAGGTAGTTTTTCTACTGTCCTTTCATGTCAGTCCTTTTGGATTTTCTCTGTACTTCCTAATTTCAAGCCATTCTTCTACCTAGTTCTTGCAGTTGGCATATCTTATTTTTTTGTCTTTTTTTTTGGAGGAGTTCTATAGGATTAAACAATAGGATTCACCAAAGCAGACTGAAGACCACCTTGAGCTTATACTAGACATGGGAATTTGATTCAACCTCACAGTTCTAACATTTTTTTTTCTTTAAAAAAAAGCAAACTCAAACTGCTTTCTTTAGAAAGCAGGTAAGAATAATACTGTGGAGCCTTCTTTATATCTCAAAGATTGGTACAAGAAAAGGACACAAGCTCTGTTTTGCTCTTCATGTTGGAATTTGCCTTTAATTTAGAGCATTTGATCTCAAAGCTGATGCACGCTACAGCCGTAGGAACAGTGGCTGAATGGTTGCAAGGGCTGAGTTTCACATTTAGGAACACAAATCCCTCTTGCGGGAGCTTGCCATACACACTCCCCACAGCTGAAGGAGTATTTTTACAGTTTGCTTGCTGGTTTGTTTCATAGCTGACAGATTGGGGACAGCTCAGAGTAGCAAAGTGACAGAGATATACATGGCTGGACTCATGTGGGTCTCACAGGGATATGCCTCCCTTTAAAGAACTGTAAATACTTCTAATCATTTCCCAACTGCATTAATTCCACTTTAGATAAAAGTTTGATACAGATTTGAAAATGAAATTATTTGGGGGGCCATAGGGCACAAAGCAAGCAATCTTCAAACATCAGAAACCCGTGGGATTCACTTTGCAGTAATATGATAGATGGCCTGACTAGACATGCCGTTTCCTATTTTCTACTTTCATTTTTCAGACCAGATTGCACTTAACCACAAAACCATCGTGTGTCCTATGATCGATGTCATTGACCACAATCACTTTGGCTACGAGGCACAGGCGGGGGATGCCATGCGAGGAGCTTTTGACTGGGAAATGTACTACAAAAGAATACCGATTCCTCCAGAGCTCCAGAGAGCTGATCCCAGCGACCCCTTTGAGTAAGTAGTGATAAAGGGGAGAGTGGGAAGAAGAGCAAGGAGAAAAGGTAACTGTAGCAGAATCGAAGCCCAGACATTTCCATGTAGGCCACTTCCTACTAGTGAAAGGTAGTAGAATTAAACAGCTTCTGTACAGGTTTATCCCAGATCTTCGTTCGTGAAGCCTAACCATGATGATGATGATACAGGTTTATAAAACCTCAAAACTAGGAAAAAGATCAGGGCAACAATTTTCAAAATTCACAAGCTGTGCCTGGAAACACAGCCTGACTCAGTGGTTGTACATAAAAGAAACAGGCACATGCTTGTTGTTCACTTATTGGCATTGGACAAGAAGTGAATGCGATTACAGGTATTCTGTTTATTCTGCAGAAGACTTCCTGAACAGACTTCGTTTAATGTTTTATTTGCTGAAGGTTGATGCAATATATGCATCAGTAGTTGAGTCCACATTATGCCAGTAGGTGCCTTGTTTATAACTGGTGATATTACTACTGTATATATATTGCTGTAACTTAAACACAGAGCTCTCAAACCTGAACAGTCTCAAGATGATTTGTAGATAGTTTTAGATAAGCCAGACTCTAATCCCAGTGTTGTACAGATCAGTTCATTCACAGGAATGATCTACTTTTCACAAAGGTCGTTCATTTCTTCTTATATTTGCTTTATTTTCTCATGTAAGGATCAGCTAGGATTAGTGCGCATCAACAGAGAAAGGACAGACAGATACGGTTCAAGTCTCTCACACAGCCGCATTCCAGCAGTGCTGGCAATGGAGGGGGCTCTGATGCTTTAACCCTGGCTGAAACTCTACACTGTAGGTTTCAGCAGTTTAAAAACTCAGCATTTTCCCCTTCCCAAAGCAAAACCTGGAAACAATAGCAACAGAAAACCTATGTCTCTGACCCAGACTCTGCACTATCTTGAAGTAATAGATCTAATTCATGCAGAAATTTACCCTAATATCCAGGGACTGACCAGCTCTGTATAGGGAAGAGTAGGTAATTGTGATATTTGTGGGCTTATTTTCATTAATCTGCTTGTTCCTTTTTACTTATCTCCATACAGGCCTCTCAGTCTTCATCTTGTATTAGTGTGAGTGCTGATGAAGTACTTTTCTTCAGCTGCTAATGTGACCACTCCACAGCATAGATGCAGCTATTGCACATACATAACATTCTGGAGTTGCTAGAGCCTCCACTGCTCTTCCACGAGTCTTCTTGGTCCTCTGAGCAGTTGTAATTTCTTGACACTTACTGAAGGTCACCTAGTACATTGTATAATTTGGTTCAGCATTCAAAGTTTGTGTATAAGTAAAAGTTCTGTATTGCCATACGGGGCAATATGGAGCTGCTTATCAGCCATTTTACACATTTGTAAAATGCATCTCTCAAATGCAAGAGAGGCTGGAAAAGGAAACACTCTTAGGAAACTTTCTAGAAAGATGAGGCTTTCTGCAGTGCAGAATAGGTATGGTGGTTTTGCATGAACTGCTGTTCCAATCAGCGTGGCAGCAGTTGATACCCACCTTGCCCTGACAGCATTCATAACACATGGGCAGATAAATGGGTTCACAAAGAACAAGATATAGGACAATGCAGCCTATAAATCCCTTGTAATCTGAGTAGTTGTTAGGCGGAAAGAATTCCCAGTTCTTACACAAATCAGTGAGAGTCTTCCTTTGTTTTCGCTGTCACAGGATCTGCATCAGAGCGATGCAGGAGGCAAAGCAGCATTGCACATGGAACCACCATGTCTGTCCCCACATATACCAGCAGGACTGGAGGCTGGCTGAGCTAGGACAATGCTTTCTTTAAAGTACCCTCTGCCTAGAATGGCAAGGGAATGGAAGTGGTTTAAATAATCAGTATGAATTTTGCTTAGGGGAGAAATTATTTTCTAATTTGAAGTCAGTACTGCTTTTCTCCTAGGGCCTTCTCTGCTGAGACCTCAAGCTTTTAATACCTTGCTTACAACAAATACAGTAAACGTTACAAACCATTTTAGCTATCAGTAACTTAATTGACCAAGACAGCTTCTATGGAATTAAAGAGACAGAACAGTTTTCCCTTAGATGCATATACATTAAAACTAGAAATTACTTCAGCCAGCTTCAACCATAATTATTATGTTACTATTTTGCAAGCAGTAGGGATTTTATTTTTTTTTCAATTTAGGTTAAATGTTTTACTATTGGCATCCTAATAGCTTTATTTCTTGCCAGCAGAGCCAGATCTGAGATGAACCTTAATGAACTGGAAAATTGCCAGCATTTTTAGTAAAACACCAGCAAATAACGGATACATGATCCAAAAATTTTGCTGATGACTTTTGCCCCTCACTTAAAATGCCAATGCAGTATATGTGCAAAGCAGAAAAGGTCACATCAGCCTAAAAAATAATGTACATAAAACCAGATCAAAATACAGAAAACCTAACAACAGTTGTTGTATTATCTGTGTGGTACACTTGCTTTCCATCTGCACATGATCAAAATACTGCTGCAGCACACATCAGCAGCATATTTGCAGTTGACTCAGCCAACTGAAATGTTGTCAGGTAGGCTTTTGGTGTGACAGTAGCACAGACCTTACTAAGCTACAGTGCCAGCTGAGCTAGTGTTTCTGGAATTAATCTTTTCCCACTTTTTAAGGTCTTTGTAATTGTGTTCCACAGTACTCAGTGCTTGACTGGTGTTCTCTTATTGGATGCCATTTATCTAGACACAGTCTTTCAGTTCAGAATCCCTCTTGTGAAGAGCAAGTTATGTCTTGATGTTTATGACTTTAGGACTGTAAAACACTCTCAAAATCTTCCAGTGTCAAATTCAGGTACAGATGATGTACTAGCACCAACCTGGGATCACATGACAAATTTGAAATTTGCATTTGGATCACGCTTCATCAATCCATAAATTTTATCAGTTTGGTTCACGTGTACTTTGTCACTGGCCATGCCAAGTTTCCCATAGGTTTCACTGAACCAAACTACAGACATATAAAATGTATTTTCAATCAAAGCTCCCATGTTAATTATTGGATATTGTTCTATGCTCATTTGCAGCATTTAGGAAAGTTTAACATTATTCCAAAAATGAATCTTATGTAGCTTTTAAGATAGCTACTTTTCTGAAAGATCTCCCCGGCTATTTTTCAGGATACACTGAATTTTTAGATGCATGGAAATTGGACTTTGCCCCTTATAATGTTGTCTTCTCATCCAGAGACTAAATCTCTCAACTCCTTGATTTCCCTTTTTCATGTGCCAAGAAACAACAGAAGTTTTATATTGTTTTATATTCAACTGATCTGTCACAGTTGCAGCTCATCACAGTGACTGCAGTGATTTTTCTCTTGCAATTCATATACAACTCCCCTAATACACTTTGAAAAGGGCTTCATGCTATTTTCTTGTGATTCATTTAAGATTGTGTAAACAACATAAGACAAATTGGTGTTCTGATGTATGGCGGGAAATTGTCAGACAATTGTGAAATCCTCATCGTGTCATGGTGATGCTCACTGTCTTGATCCCAGGGTCAGTGATCATTCAGCAGAATTGGAGATGACTTGGGGAATTTTCTTCTAGTCTATTAGCAGGGAGGACCAGAGATAAACATTTGCCTTTGTGGCAAAGGTCACCTTGGCCTATTATCTCTTGCTGGTTTGTTCCTCTGTCATGGCAGAGGTTTGAGAGTATGCCCTTACAGGACACACAGATTTGGGACATAAGAGCATGCTCTTCTGTGGCTGTTTCTTTCTGTGGTGCAAGCACCCTGGTGTCAGGAGGAGGTTGCCTAACCTGAGCCATCACCACTTAAACTAATAGGGCAACTTTGTTACTATGATGGACTGTGATATACAGCATGTCAGTTTATATGATTTAGTAGCCTGTCTGGGCTAAAAGCTCTGTAGAAGTTTAAAGCAGAGGTTTGATATGCTGAAGCCTGCTGGGGATGACTGCTCTTTATTTCCTGGCAGCACTTACATTACATCGATTCGTGTTATCACATGCTTGATCTGTAAACTGGCATCAGTGTCCATTCATGCCAGCAGAAACATATTTCTAACCAGACAAAAAAACATCAATTCAATTCAAAAAACTATTTGGAAAATCCACAAACTAATTGAGAATATTAACATAGCACAGATCAATTAGGGTAGGAATGGGCTTCACAGCTCCTTGGAGCAGTTTTATGATAGTGTAACTTTATGATGCAGGAGGGAAGGAAAGGTGCAGGTGAGACATAACAACATTGCTTTTGAATTGCAACTCAGATGGAAATTCTGACCGATGAGCAAAGTGTTATGCTGCTTTCTGGATGCCAAGACTTCTAGCACCTACCTGAGAAAGTTAGAAGTGTTTTGGTGTATGACCACTCCTTACTCTCCAAGAGTTCTTTGTTTGCCTTCTGGTGTAGAGCTGTGATCTCCAGCCCTCCCTGAGGGCAGACAAAGCTGAAGAGTCTTGTAATTCTAGCAAAGGACCGGGATGATAGTTTGGCAAATATGAGCTTATTCAAGTAAGTAGAAACAACTAAGTAACGTCTGACAAGACATTTTAGTTTCTGTACTCATATTTCCATTTATAAAACAGAACTAGAATCACTCCGCCATCACAAGGCTCTCACAGTAATAAGGACCACTTATGTTTAATCGATGTACTTTTGGGTAAAATATTGGACATGCTCAAGAGATGAAATTAGGTGATCAGTTACATATTTCTTTTCCCTTGCATCACAGGCTCTCAACCTTGAATGTAGTGTATGACCTTAATGTAGTCAGTTGTTCTGTGTAGGATTGGAAGGTTACTTGGCATTTTATGTTGAATTGTGTATCTAAAATCATATCATTATTTTGCACGCTCTCATCAGGATGCTCTTTTATTCGAATTTGACATCCTCTCAGAAATACTTTTTCTTCAGCTCCTTACTTTCACTGTTTATATATATACTTTTTACAACATGTTGGTGTAAAGAAAGCCTTTGCTAAGACTGC